AGTAACTAACTGATGTTGGATGAACATAACTTCTAAGGATACAAAACTTTTTATTTTTGTCAATTAGGTTAAGATTTATATCATTGAAACTGGAAATTAGGCAAAAAAAAATTCACAGAAATACTATCCATCTCAGTTTTCTCTACAATCCAACAAACGTAATTAAAATTAAAAATTAATCATTATTATATATTTTCCAAAAAAAAATACTATTAATCCACTCACATATTTCTAACTAACAATCTTATCAATCAATACTTTATTATTTTAATATCACACATCAACTTTAATCATACGTTTTTATCTTATATCCATTCACAATCTAAAATCTATCATTTTTTTCTCAAAACAACCTTTTCATCTTTATATTTATATTTTCGAAAATCTTATATCCAATCACAGCAATTTACATAACCATATAGTTATTATGCCAAAAGAGTACATAATGATTATAGGATCACAGAATCCCACAAAATTTTGAACATGCATAACATGAAAAGAATATGAGCAAAACATACATCACACTCGATCTGCCCAGGTCGTTGAGGATAAATAGTTGGAGTGAGTCCGAGTCCAAGCTGCAAACAAGGATTTAAGTCGTATCTATGAGACTGCTAGAAAAGTCACATTGAGGCTAGATTAATATCAAAATAATGGGAATTTCAAGGGTAGAGAGCACCATGCATTGAGTTCCAAACATGTTTCTGTAAAACTTTACTTGTCCAATAACTCACACACTTATAAATAGACATAAATATGTCAGCGAATTTGCAAAGACAGTTGAATGCAATGGAAAATGTAATTAATGAACGGTATTAAAAGTTGGGACGTCAAATTCTTTCAATATCGCTGTGCATATTCTACGACAATGGCACAATGGAAATTATGGAATCAGAAATGAACAAAGTAAGATTCAAGTTTACCGCTGTCTGAGTCAATCCTGAATCAACGGTTGGCAGGAGAGATGCAGCCGGAGCAACCAAACTAAAGTTGTAATGTGTAGCCGGAGATGTCAGCAGAGAAGGAGCAATAGCTACACAATAATTTGATTAAGTTTATAGGCTGGAAAAGAATGACCCTGAAAGATAGGGAATTGGGGGGAGGGGAACTGGCGTAAAGTAATCACATACGATATCTGTCTGGATGGTTGTAGCGGCAAGTGGACCCATATTTACAACTGATTAAAAAAAATACATATTAGAACTATCGTCGTGTCTTGGTATGTATATCAAGGTTATATTGGAGCTGGAAGTAAGGAACTGCTTCTAAGTTCAACTAGAAAGAAGAACACACCTGCCAGTTTTCAGATAGAATGGGCAATCTTCTTCACCCTGTGAATGGCAAGCCAGTAGATGATGACAAGTTTCCAGAAAGAAAATAGATGTGATAGCAATAAGGCATGACAACTGAACCAATGTAGCAGAAAGTAATTGCGATCAATATTATTTTATATTCTGCTCCTAAAATCCCTTCAGGGGTTGAGGAAATTTTGCATAGTTATTTCAATCTTCTCGAGGCTTCAGGAGTTTCTGAGATTGACTAAAGGAAAACCACAGCACTAAAGTTGTTACCGCCCATCACCTTATCATCCTCAACACCCCACGCCCAAAAATCCCCTAGGATACCAATGTGAAAATAAATTGAGAAGAAATTATATCTAAAAACGCAGTGAAACAACCCCAGAGAATAAGACAGACAGTTTGAAAATGGGAAGCAAATATGTCAGGAGAAGGATGTCTTAAACCCGCTCCATCTCTTAGTTTCAACTCAACATTTTGTAAGCAACATGGAAAGGTGTTTATTGCTAAACACAAATGACATTTGTATGAACACGAGGGGGTAATTTGGGCAGGCCAGACACAGAAGAACAGATGGTTATGCAGACATAAGACTGACAGCAAGCTTGTCATTGGACCACAATTCCATTACTAGTTGGTCAAATAAGATGAAAGAAACAAACTAATTATTAGTCTCTTTAAGATTGCAAATTTATTACCATTTCCTACAAGAGACATTCATGAAACAGAAGCAACTTGAAACCATTTTGTAATTGACTGGGAGAAAAATTTACTGCAAATTCAAATATCACAACAAAAACATAACATGCCTGAACAATTCAATCTACAAACATCAGGTATTGTAAACTAATAACGTATTAACATATTAAGTAACCATACTGGTCTGATGGGAAGGCCTTTAGTATTATGAAGCAAAGCAGGGGCAAAAGTCTGCTGCAATGTCTTCACATCTCCAAAAGTTTTGTTCTGAACTTCATTTCCTTCTCCAGATGATATATGCACACCTTTGGGATGGTGAAATTTGCAGGTCGAGCCATATTTACATTTTCCAGTCTTCATATAGAACTGTTTGGATTACAAAAGAGTTATTATTTACAGAATTGCTAGTACAGAAGCAAGCAAAGCACTCATGAGAGAAGTAGCTTACAGTACATGGAGGCTCTGATGGCCTCTCAGGTAGGACAGACACATCGCCCTCCTCCATTGCACCCTAAATTGAGTCAACAAAATAAAAATTCAAGTTTTTGACAGCAAACATTGCCACACTAAACAAAATAGTAGGTTATGCCAAAATTACTTACTGGAGGTGCAATTCTGTCTTTAGGGTGATTGAATTTGCACTTAATACCAAACTTGCATCTTTGGGTCTTGAGGAAGAACTGGGACATTTGCAGTAGTAAGAACAGAGGTACATGTCAGAATATCAAGTATTTTTTTATTATTAATCAAATTCTTTAAATCTGGCTTACAGGGCAATCGGGCTGCCCTGGTCTCTCAGGAAGATCTTCACTCGGCACAGGAAGGACCTGAACCATGAATTACATGATTTCAAAAAGACGAAATAGATTGTTCTACAAATAAAACAACCACAGTGAAACAACCACAATGAACCCGGAAAGTAAGTACATATTAAAATTCAAACAGAGAATGAGTTGGGTTCAGCGGGTGCAGAGATGAATCTCAAAGAAGCTGATATTAGAGCATCAGAAACTATTGGATAAAAATGTTGCCAAGCCTAAAAATATGATTTGAATGCCTTAGCAATGAGAAGACATAACACAGCCTCTGATATTCAATGGGAAGAGAAATTTATTTCCCATATCAACCAAATGTATAGTCATAATATATTGGAACCGTCAAGAATTTATAAACTTCATGATCCTAGTCATCAAGCATAAAACAATATTCTCTTCCCATAAATTCTGAGAAGTTAATATATATGTGTGTGTTTGTGTGTGTGTGTGTGCTACTGAGAAACTCCAAAAACATAGGTAGTCATATGTTTGATGCAACTGCTTGATACAACATTTTGAAAAATGCATGCAAGCTATATCGAATGGCCTCACATCCATATAAAATACATATATGGTAAAATGACATAAATTACCTAACGACCATTCTAGGATGGCTTTACTAGTAAAAGCAAAAAAGCAAATCAAATACTTTTATACTTAAATGCCATACGTTAAAGAACAACTTAAACAGAAGTCTGACATGTCATAGTATAAGTATGTATTCTTGTTCATTAAGTACTAAAGATCGACCCGCCAAACAGACTTGCTGCCTGATAGCAGCATTTGTGTTGCTCCACATATCATATCAATAACTTGACCTTTCTGCCATCTCTTTTAGATAAAGTCACACATGAATCCTAAAGCAGAGTTTAGAATGAAAAGGAGAAGCATGTCCATATATCATATACTATGGATTCTACAGTAAGAGAGTGCTCTGATTGGAATGGTTTCTCTGCAAAAATTCCATGATGAATACATGTGAAGGACCCGGGAAAATTGGTCAACAATACTCTCCGAGTTTCTTAACCATTATAACACCACTAACCCCATGTACCTTAAAAATAATTAACATAATACAAAAAAAAAAATGAGAATAGTTGAACTTCCAAACTGAAGATCCACTCAAGTTAGACTTTCGGATTTACTGGAGAAGACATTCAGTCAAGCATATTAAAGCCTAGAAAATTAGTAAAGGTATAAAGAAGATACAAGTGGAACCCAAATTTCATGTTTCCTCATGGCAAAATCATCACCATGAGATGGTATTTGGTTCTTGATGCCACAGTATCAAGAAATATACATGTGATCAATAAAACACTCAAACAATACATGTGTGTGTGCACACTCAAACAATACATGCGTGTGTGTGCACGTGTGAACACAGACACTCACAAATATAGGATTACTCTAAACCATAAAGGATGCAGTTGAAGCCACACTGGAACGGTAAATAGCTCCTAGTATTAGATAATAACTACATATTCAATCAAGAGTATTGCATAATTAACTTTTTGTCAAAATAAACCACTACAGAGACCACAAACAATATAGATTATAATGACCTTGAATTCAAAACAGAGTGAGATAATAGAAGAAACATCATCCACAAAGTGAAATGGGTTCCATGATTGACAAGATAAATATTCCAGTCTCACCCATCCCCATGGTAAATATTTATTGTCCCGAAATACAAAATACTTATAGAAATATTGGTTTGTGAAATAAAAATACAATAGCTCATCTGATTAACGTAGTATCTGCAGAAGTACCAAGACAATAAAGTTCCAAAAGGAGCATCTTAGAAAGTGATGTATTAGTGTAAAACATATAACTAAATATTAATAGATTTTTATCAATGTAAATAAAACAAATTATTAATATTTAAACAAACTACTATAATACATGATTATATGGTATAAAGTAACTGAGCAAATGGGATATTAACATCTTATGAAGAACAAAAATATCACCTCTTTCCAATCAGGGATTCCCCCTTCTGGAACCCAAATAGGATGGTCAAACATGCAGGTGTCCCCAAACTTACAGGTTCTTGTTTGCATATAATAGGCACAATCCTTCTCTCCAGGCCTCTGAGGATAAACAGGCAAATGGCTCATACTCTCAAATCTAGGGCGCTTGGATAGAGAGTTCGCTGAATACCAAGCTTCAGTTTGCCCAATCTTGTTATGGGCACCCAAAAGAGTCTGATGATAGAGTGCTATATATATAAAAAGAAAATGATAGTATATGTTACAATATAAATAGGATACTTATGTAACTATAGGTAGAAATTGGAAAACAAAATTGTATTAACGGGCAAACTTGTCAGTTTGGACCCGTGTAAATTTAGAATCAGATGAGATAACATAAGGATCAAATAGCTAGTTACGTATTAGGTACCATATACTTCAAAATTAAAATAGATGATTCCATAATATAAATTAAGAATAAAAAACCGCCACACCACTCCACTCCAAGATGACGACTGAGAAATTAAATTAACTCACTTCACGCAATTTTAATAATCCATAGGGCACAACTGCTTTCAATATATAAGTATCACAGCATGAATAGTCCTATATACATCAGAAATGGAAATATATTATATCTTTAAGTAATATGGTACATCAACCTCAGTAAATATGAATGTTAACAGCCAGACGAAATGCCATAAATATAATACTTGAGAAAAATATGATATTAACTTACTCCAAATTACATTCTACATGAAGCATCTACAGGGCCTCAAGGTAAGATAACCTTAAACTAGCAAACAATTTCTCCTTGAGCAGTACCAGGCTAAATTATATGATACTGAGTAAAGAGTAAACACTCACGTGTCATATACAAAAAGATACATCGTTTACCAAGATACATCATTTATCCACACGTCATTGATTTTACTAGGAAAAACAAAACATTAAGTCGCAACAACATTTATTGATCCAGCAAGGAGAGATCATAGATAATGATTATGAGTGGATAGTGGATATGAAGGAAATTATAGGCGGCTAAGGATTTTAGAACAGTGTTGTCAAGAACTATATGCTATTCAGAGCACGTAATGATTTTTAGTTATTTTGTGTGTTCATTAGAAGAGATCGTAGGTGATGAATTGCATGACTCATAAACATTGGCTGAGAATAAGATATGTAAATTTAAGCTAAAGCCATCAACAGCTGACAAGTTCACCATAGATGCCTATATTCTCTATCTCTACCTCCAGCCCCTCCAGGAATTCAGAGAACCAGCAAATAATTCACGGAAACATATATTTATACTGCCTGAAAATATAAATACTTTTAGCACGTATTGTTATCAAAATCTACTAAGAAATCCAATGGAATTGAACTCCACGCAACCAACCCAAATAATAGTCCTTTCAGAAGGGTTGCCCAAAAAATGTAAACATAAGCATACCAACAGAAGGTGGTGAAAGATCACTTACACTCAACTGAAGTGCGCTTCAGGCCGGCGTAAAGCGAGTCAGCGGCTGCAGACCCCGCATCGACACCAGGGGGGCCATACGATTGCGTGGGAGTGGTGATGGATAAGCCGGAGATCCTAGCCGAGTTGCTGTCGGTGTTGTAGAGCAATGAAGAGGACAGAGTGGATGAGGAGGAGAGAGAGTCTCCGCTTAAGTACCTAGCGGAAGTTCCGAGCAACGAAGTGTCGCTGGAGAGGTACGAGTCCGCGCCGGATCGAGGGGTGTAAAGGCTGGTGGTACCGCCGCCGCTACCGTAACCGCCGGTGGAATAGCCGTAGAGATGATTCGCCATGGAAGCTGCGCTTGTCACCTGGCGAAGAAGTGTGTGTAGCCCTAAACTTCTAAAGTAGGGCTGGTCCAGAAAAGAAATTATTTGATATTTCAGTATGACGTCATCGCAGGAGTACGCTTGTAATAAACTCTTCCTAAATGAACTCCGTAGATAAATCTTGATATTGTAGTACCGATTCCTAACTTTTAATCTCGATTTATAAACTGACATATGTTTTTTTGTTTTTTATCCAAACGATTTTATAAAGTGAAGAAAAAATTTAGGAGGTGGAATCGATAAAAATACTAACCAAACTATCCTAGACAAACAAAAATAACTAAAATTGGATCTAGACAATCAGCAGTGACATCAGCAACTATGACCGACGTAAACACAAACTATATACTTCAAAAACATTGTGACTAGCATAAACACGCACTATATACTCCAACAAGTGGAGAAACGAGCATTAAAAAATAAAACTAACATACACTTAATCTATCTATAAACGACTACATCCCCAATTAATATAAGTAAATCACTACATAAACAGACGAGCACTAAGCCAGAATCCACACACGACAAAATCATGAACTAAACCTAAAGCGCGACAGAAACGAAACCTAGAACTAAAAACTCTACAAAAGCAGCTAGGTAGAACCTGCAGGAAGGCAAGCCTTAGTTAAGATCTGAAAGCCCGAAGTCACTGATCGAAGGAGAAAGAGGGGATCGAAGGGATCGGCTCTGCAATATGAGGAACCAAACACGCGTACCCTGAGGGGACCCGACACGGCGGCAAATCCTGCCGATAGGCCACCAACCTGAAGAAGACGACAGAGCTATGGTCGGGACATAGAAAAATGTCCCGCATGTGGCAAAAGGTTCAGGACAAAAATGGCGGCACAATGCCCTCGAGAGATGGCTACACGACGCGATCGCCACGGACCCTCTCCCGCTCACAGCCACGATCGGACGGTGCAACGCTGGGAAGGCAACAGGGCCTCCTGCCTCAAGATACAGCCGAAGACTGGGGAGCCAATGCTGGGGTTGTGGGTTACCTGTAGGAGAACGGGGGGTCGTTGCTTGAGAAGGAGAAGGGAACAAGGAAGCGAAGAGAGATTTTAGGGGAGAGAGGATTTTAGAAATGTTAGGGATATATTGAAGCCCACCAAATACAAATACATAGTACATGAGTTCTACCCATTACTAGAATAAAATTAATAATTGATTAAACATAAAATCTATTAAAAAATGACACTCCACTGTAATTCTACGATATCACTCACAAGCGATAATATGCACACTATAACGAAAAATTACTGTTAATAATCTCACTATTAGGGTGAGTGTGGTTACTCTGAGTAATTGAGCTTGATTAATTCCCATAGAAAAAAATGAATTGATATCCTTTTCATAAAAAAAGGCCTATTAACAAGTTTGGTTCATAATTGATAAGTTTAATACATAATTGATAAGTATATACTTTATGTCAAAATTACTTTTTTGCTCTTCAGCTAAAGTTAAATTTTCTAATGTTGACATTCATCTCCTCAACTATTTCTCCCAAACAACAATCAAATTCATCTTAAAAACCCCTAACTCTAACTCAAACCTTATTTTCTCAAACCCTAGCCCTTAATTCGGATATGGGGTGCATCTATTGCCACAGAATCTGCAAAATCAACTCTGAGATTTTGATTGGCTTTGTGCTTTTCCATAAATCTCCTTTCAATTTCCACGATGGTATGATAATTGGAGTCAGATACCATAATTTGTTCGACATGCTGGTCGACACGATCGTAGCAGCCATGGCGGTCTCTGGTCACATGATGGTTGACATTGTTGTAGCAGCCATGGCAGTTTCTAGTCAGGGGAATATCCCCAGTGATTATGGTTGAGACAGGTGGTCAAGCGACGAGTCATAATTCGTTAGGAATTATGTCGAGATGACTGAGGTCTGGAGTGGGGATGCCTTTGCGAAAAGACAGTGCGGTTGAGGTTCACATCTATCAGCTGCTTGAAGAGTGAAGAGGGCCGACCGATTCCTTTAGGAGATTTTGATTGAATGGAAGGAGTTGCCATAGGAGGAAGCAATGTGGGAGAGCGTGCATGATATGTGCAATCAGTTTCTGAATTTTATACTCAAGGACAAAGATTTACTTGAAATAGACAAGAATGATGCAGATGAAAGATGAATTCAATAATGCATATAATAGAGGTCGTCATGCTCGTATTAAGGAGACAGGGTAACCGAGCACAAGCACGCAAGGATGATGGGCAGGCGCGCCGCACAGCCGGACGACCACGTAGTTGACGACCGCACAAGCGACTGTGCAGCCGACGACCGCTCGCGCCGTGACCCAATTGAGGACTCAGTAGCTCAAGCCTCGTGCCACAAAGTCGTGCGGCGTCGCGATAGTCCGGCGTGAACCAGTGACTTGTTTGTAATTTTCTTATTTTCTACTAGTTTGCTTTGTTAATTTATGTTTCCTTGAATCTTAGTTTGCTTTATGTTTCTACTAGTTTGCTTTGTTAATTTGTGTTGCAATTTCGATGTTTTTATTTCTTTAAAACTCATGCATTCATCTGGTGAAAAACTTAAACAGTAAGATATCGAAAACCGCAGAGCACAAATCTCCTGTTTAATTATCATAATTCAAACCAATCGATCGGGGATGCTTGGATATAAATTTTTCAAAAAAAAAAAATCCAATCATTTTTTTTAACTCAAATCTAACTCAACTTTAACTCAATACAATTATTTAATATTATCAGTATATCAATTTTACACATTACATCAATTTTTTTT